TATAAAAAGTGTTCAGCATCTCTAGCAATTCAAGAAATACAAATCAAAACCACTCTTAAGATTTCATCTCACTCCAATCAGAATGGCAGTTACCAAGAATACAAGCAACAGTACATGTTGGCAAGGATGTGGGGGAAAAGGTACACTCATACATTGTTGGTGGAGCTGCTTCATCCTCATACAACAAACATGGACATTGGCAGTTATTTTATGTTGATTAATTAGGGTCAGTAATTTAGTTGTTGGTAGATCTTTATTTTATTCATTTATATGAGGTGCTAAGAATCTAACCCAGTGCCTTACATGTGCTAGGCAAGCGCTCTACCAATGAACCACAACTTCAGCCCTCAGTAATTTCTTTATCAACATAGTATGGGTTTAAATACACTCTTCTATGATCTAATACATTGTAATCAAATCATTTCTAAAGGCAACCCAGAATATTATTGAAAAAACTGTTTACTTAAAAAAGCAATGATATAATTAAGTTATGGATTGCAAATAATACTCTCAGTGTTTATAAACCTTCCCAGGTCGTCTCTAGGAAGATTTCCCATGTGCTGTTGAATGTAATAAGACCAAATTCCTTGAACATCACTGTGTATATATCCTAGATATTTGGTGCTATTTTTTGGACTTATTATTTGCTATCTGGGATAGAGTATCATGTCTACTAGGTCCAGACTTGTAGTTTACCATACCAACTTAGAGTTACCACATTTGTCTTTATGTTCAACTAGTCCATGGTGAACTACTCCATTTTATTTTCCAGTGACAAAACTGGAAGTAGTGGCCAGATAGCCCAGCTGAGGATATAAGTATTTACTCTCTCTGAACTTTTAACTTTTGTTCATGCAGTACTCAACCTACATGTGCGCCTATCCTATAGCTTATACATGATATCAATGTATATAATTATTTTTGTTTTTAGTGTTACCCTTTTAACTCATATAATGTCTCCTGGCCCATTATTTTCTCAATCTTAATCTACAAAATAGAATATTATACTTTCTGTATGTATGTGTTCAAACTATTTCTGTTTTTATTATCTCCTTTGATTCTTATAGTATTGCTGCATATCCACAGAGTTACCTACTACAGAATTCAGTCTGGGTTGTATAAGCAGGAAGAGTATATTTGAATGCTGCTCACCTGGAAGTGAAGCAGGGAAAGTAGTGAAGCTAAGAAATAGTTTCAGCAAATAGTACCATTGCAAGTGCATGCCACCAACACATTTGGCTTAAGCCTTTTATATTTTCAAACAACACAGCAATATCATGTTTACACTTGTCATGATACAGGTCTCCCTTATAGACATAACTAGGGGTTTTATTACTCCCTACAGGGCAATCCTATATCTCTTCAGTTCCTTCAGTTAGTTCTACTAGTGCAGGCTCTAAAAATGTTGGCCTTTCCTTTAGTTTAGGCTCTATTCTGTCTTGGAATTCTGTAATTCTGTACCCTTGTCGAGTGAAATTGCAAGACTAAAATCACGAACACACCCTATATAAAACATAGCAAAGGGAGAAAGCATTGAGTTAATATGCATAAACTAGATATCCTGAAAAGGGGGAAAAACATGCATAACTATTAAAACTCTTGTTTCTACAAGTGTTTTCTACCTGTTTAATGGTGTATTTGCCCTAAGGGAGCCAAAGTATGTCACCTGGTACATTGAACTTCACTTATAGTATTGCTGGCAGACAGGGAAGATAAATCCAAACCTAAGTGTATGTTCAAGGGAGAATACATTGTTGTGCTGCTCTGATAAAAGAAGATCAATCTAATTAGCATCCTACTCTGCCTCTGGATGGTCCCTCATGATTGAATGCTGCTCCAGTCAATTTGGATACTGTGTAGTGTTAATAAATAGGTTAGCCATGATAAAAAGCTGTTCGAGATGTTGCCTTTACCACTGTGGTCACTTTGCTTATTAGCCCCAGACTACTGTCAAAAGTGTCAGACCAGGGCTGGAGTTGTAGCTAAGTGGTATAGTGCCTGTCTGGCATGTGTGAGGCACTGGGTTCAATTCTCAGCACCATATAAAAATAAATTAATTAAATAAAGGTCCATCAACAACTAAAAAAAAAATTTTTTTTAAAGGTATCAGACCAATATTTTTTGGGGGAGAGAGGGTACTGGGGATTGAACTCAGGGACACTCAATCACTGAGCCACACCCCTAGCCCTATTTTATATTTTATTTAGAGACAGAGTTTCACTGAGTTACTTAGCACCTCACTGTTACTGAGGCTGGCTTTGAACTCATGATCCTCCTGCCTTAGACTCCCAAGCCACTGGGATTCAGTCCAATATTTTACAGTGATTTTTCACATCTACCTGGTTTTTTGAGTCTCCTGTCCCGTAAGCATTCAGGTAGAATACATATATTATCCCTCATTCTTTGTTCAAGATATCTATCCACATAAGTCTTCCCAACCATCTTGTTGCCAGTCCTTGTCTTTCTAAACTTTGGCTCATTGTAAATCACTATATCTCTCAATGTAAGCTATCTTTGCTCTGGGGTCAGCTGGTCCATGAAATGTACCCTCAAAGAATGTTCCCTACAATCTAAGTAGTTGTAGTTGTCCCAGCATCACATCAATCCTGGATCATTGTGATCCATAACTTATACCATCTTCCCTGGGCAAACTGTACCTAAGATGTGCCACATGAAGCTCATCTGTTAGGGCTTTGTCTGGGGGAGTTGTAAAGCTGTAACCATCTATATCCAGCCACTGCCCTTTTATATCAGTCCATCTGTACCCCTTTTCTCCTCAGACAACTGGTCATATAGACTTTCTCATGTGATTCTAAATGTGGGTTGAGTGAAGGACAGCAGATGTAGTAAGTATATTAAGAATTTAAGCTTCTTACACTCAAATATGCTACTTACACAACTTTCACTTGCGGACACTGTTCCTGGGCATATTCATCTTGGTAGTCAGGTGAATCAGATAATACCCAGTTCATGAGTCCCGTGGTTAGATAGTATACTTTGCTCAAAGTTTCAGAGTTATACATATGGCCAGGTGTTTGGTCCCCACTAGGACCCAGCATCAAGCCAGATTTATTTATTAAAAGGAAAACTTGCTGAATAGAGTATGACTTGGCCCCCAAACCTTGGGACTTTCCACTTTTCTAATTTGTCTCCATGTATCCTATTCAGCTATGAATATTCCCATTGGTAACAAGACTAAGGAGAGAGTTGCTTACAGTCTGCCCTGGCCCATAGGGAGAGCTTTTTCTCAGCTCTACTTAATGTTGGTAGTTTTATGTGTCACTAATATATTAGGGCAGTGCATTAAAGGTAGCATGTGTTGCCTCCAAAATCCAGTAGGCATTTTTTTTTCCTTTTTTTTTTTTTTTTTTTTGGTTTTTCTTTTTTGGTAGAATTGGTGCAAAGTACATTTTTTTCACTTTGGAAGAAGCATCTAGTTCATTGCACCAATAGAAATTTTACTCAGAGAACAGGCTTCTGAATTTTTACAGTATTTATGTTCTACCCTCTGGCACATACTTATCTTACCAGGATATCTTTAGGTAACTATTAGTTTCTGCTAACAATCAATTAGCATGATGTCATCTTGTCTTCTGAGGCAATAAAATGGTTAATGTTCCTGTGGACTGGGTGAAGGCACAAGTCTGGAATTAGCTAAAAGTATCCTGTTCCCCTGCTAGGTGAAAGCAAGTAGCTTTCTGCTTTGTCTGCTTATTAGAATAGGAAAAAACACATTGTTTGTCAAATCAATAGCTGCACACCAGATAAAGAAATGTGTTGATTTGCTCTGGTGGAAACCACATCTGGATTAGCAGTTGCTATTGGAGATGCATACTGATTAAGTTTGTGGTAAACCACTGTCATTCTCAAAGACCTTAACATTTTTTGCATAGACCTAACACACAAAAACTCTAGATAGGGCAGAGGGGTGGGAGGGAAAAGAAGGGGGCAGGGAATTAGCAAGGACAGTGGAATGTGATGGACATCATTATCCAAAATACATGTATGAAGACAAGAATTGGTGTCAACATACTTTATATATAACCAGAGATTTAAAAAAAAAATAAACTGTGATGTATATGTATAAGAAGAATTGCAATGCATTCAGCTGTCATTTATTTTTTTAATCAATTAAAATTTTTTTAAAAAAAGAAATGTTATAGGTGTCACTATCTCATACCTTTCAAATCTCCATGATGGCATTAATCTTTGTGCTTACTGCAAAAGAAGCAGCATTGTCATTTGGCAGAGAAGTTCAAAGCTTCTCTCTTCAGTTCATCTATTCATACTAATCCATATCACAGTAGTCCCCCATTACTCAAAGTTTTGCTTTCCATAGTTATAGATACCTTAAGTCAATTGCAGTCCAAAAATATTATGTGGAAAATTCCAGAAATAAACACTTTGTAAGTTGGGGAGTAGGGGGAAATTTTGTTTTATTTTGGGTTGTTTTTGTTTGTTTGATACCAGGGAGTTAACCCAGGGGGCACTTAACCACTGAGGCACAATCCCCAATCCTTTTTTATTTCTTATTTTGAGACAGGGTCTCCTGAGTTGATCATGGTGTCCCAAAGTTGTTGAGTTCTGCTTTGAACTTGTGATCCTCCTGCCTCAGCCTCCCAAGCCTCTGGGATTATAGGTGTGCATCACTGTGCCCAGCAAGACTTCATAAGTTTTAAATTGTATATCATTCTGAATACCGTGATGAAATCTAGTGTAATTCTACCTGAAGCCAGGGAGCATCACCTTTATTCAGCATATCCACAATTATACACTACCTGCCCATTAGTCACTTAGCCTTTTCAGTATCAGTTCAACTGTGGTAGTATAGTGTTTTTATTCACATAACCCTTATTCTACTTAGTAATGGCCTAAAAGTGCCAGAGTTGTAGTGCTGTCAATTTGGATGTAAAAAGAGAAGCTATGATGAAAATTCTTGATTTATTAAAAGAAAACCAAAAATTGAGGTTGCTGAGATCTATAATACAATAAGATACTGAGAGAAAGAGAGAAATCACATTCACATAATTTTTATTTCAGCATAAACTTTTATTAGTCATTATTATTAATCTCTTACTGTGCCTAATTTATAAATTAAACTTTCTCATGGTTATTTAAATATAGGAAAAGCCAGATAGGGTTCAATACTAGAAGTTTTGAAATATATCCCCACAGTTAAGGGAGGACTACTGTACATGAGTCCAGGCACAAATGTGGAAATTCTGTCTATTAGGTACAACATCCAATAAATCCTGAGAGCTTTGGTTATTTCCATTTCTCCTCAAAAGTATCTGTATATCCATTTGGAAAGGACAGAATGACAATTTTAAGTTACTTAGTGAGATTATTGAATACTCTTTCCTTAAAGGACTCAACCTCTCTCCTTTAGTTAGAGTCTGTAGACCACCAACTGACTCAGCTAGGCCAAGAAGAGGGACTGTTGGTACAGTCATGCTGGATCACATCAGGCCTCTGTCACTTGACTGACAGCTCAGACCAGAGTTTCCCACGCTTCTCAGCTATTCTGCTTCTAGGAACCCCCTCATTAACTGTCTACCACCAAATATCCCTATAACGTAAACCATTACTTTGGTCCTCTTGCTTATTATGTTCATCATGCATTATTTGCCTCCAGATACTTACTCTGTAGCCTCAACTGTTCCTGACCCTCATGAAAGTCAGGAAGCCCTGAGGCAGCATCTGCAATGCTGACCTTCCTGTCTGTGACCACCACCCAGCGTACAGCTAGGAGGTGGGTATGCAGGAGACATTATAATATCCCTAAGTCAAAAGACCTAGATGATTTGGCATCTAGGTCTTTTGATATTTGTTCTACGCAGAAGGTAGAAACTCGGTTACCTTGTTTTAGGGCCTAGGAGAATGCCATTTACAGGTGCATATTTTGACAACTGTGATGAATTTCCAGTTATATATTCTTGATATCTTTACCTAGTAACATGTTACAACACTCACCAAACAGAGAAGTCAAATAACATCTGAGTACTTTAATATCTTATAACCTTGTGATATAGTTAAACAAGATTTTTAATAGTTTCATTATTAATCTAAGAAGTATAAATCACAATCTTGACAAAATGTTATATGCCAACCATATGTGCAGTTTTCTTATGTTCAGTATGTCTCATTATTAAAAATGAACCAACTGCTTTCTTAGTGTTTCTAAAGGGTTTGGAGACAGGGCTTCTAGGTGGTTTACTAGAGGAAGGCCTGGTGATTGAAGCCCAAACTCTTCTGTTGTTCTTCTCAATCAGTCTACACTCTGATGCCTAAGATAAATGGACATCTGAAGATGGCTACTTACTTATTTTTCCCTTTTTTCCCCTCACAAAAATAAACAAACAAAAAATAGTTGTGAAGACTAACAGTAATGTCCCTTAGAAAGCCAGCTCTTTTTGTTCCTATTCTTTCTCCCTCTCTGGCTTTCTCTCTTGTCTTCCCTCTATCCCTTCACCCACCACTTTCCCACTGCATTCACAAGATACTGTCCATTTTTAAAGTACAATATGAAGGAGTTCTTAGTATGATTTAGTGCAGGCCCCAGCTGCTATCTCTTCTAGGGGTTTTGCTGGAGGCCAGAGCTTCCCGACAGCCCTGACTGTGGAGAGGTGGAATGTGGCCCTGACGTCAGGGCCGCTCCTGGGAATGTTTTGCATTCCTCTTCCTGGCAGTGGTCAGGTGGCTTCCAGCAAGAATGAAGGACAACAGCTTCCAAAGAAGAAAAAAAAAGAGAGGAGGAAAAGAACAGTTTATAATCAAAGTATTGTGGGGGAGGTACTTTTATTCTCAGCCAAAATTGAAATTAGAACCAGATGTCTTACATTTTGATGCTGCACAAACGCTAAATACATTTATTAATGACTGTAATAGCTGAGCTGTTTGGCTTTTCACTAAACTTAAATCTTGAAACTCTCTTTAAGAATTAGGGGAATTTTAACTGTGAAAGCAGCTTTCTAAATATAAAAGCAGGAAACCTGATGAGTGACACTATAGTTAATCTAGAGACTGTTTTAAGGTTTGTTAAACTTCTGAAAAGTCAACTTCTGGAGCAAAAAATCTCTGTGATCCATTAGGGTATTTTTTGCCAGTTACTGTGGTACATGCCCATGACAACTACTCAGATGCTAAGGCAGGAGATAGCAAGTTGGATGCCAGCCTTGGCAACTTAGCAAGACCCTATCTCAAAAACAAATAAATAATTTTAAAATAAAATTACAAAGGGCTATCTATGGATGTAGCTCAGTATTAGAGGTCTTGCATTTAATCCCTAGTACCTGGGGGTGGGGGAATAGTATTTTGTGCTATTCAAATAAATTAAAGCCATTCTTTGTAAAGAGGCAAGTTCTATTTTAGCATTTGTTACTGTTTTTTCCTCAAATATTTACATTTCCAATGTTATTACTTCCCATTATATTACTGTTCAAACCAGATATTCAAAACAAAACTTACCAAATTCTTAATATAACAAACATATCTAAAGGTGCTAGAGCTATATAATGTGTGCAACAGATAAATGGAAAGGTAAACTTGTATTTTTCTCCTACCCAGTGATGTACCTTTGTTCAAATTCATTATACTGATTTAGCTAATCCTGATTGTGTATCTACATTTTAAAATAAAATAATCTTTAAAATCAGTGCCTTTCATTAGCTTCTCATTTGTTTTGATATAACAGCAGTTATACTAACAAGAGTTCTCCAGTTTAGGTGAAATCTATTTGAATACTTCCTGTTATACATTAAAATGGAAAGCTGGCTTCCTGTTTTAGATCATGTTGCTGGTAAGGAATTTCCAGAAATGTGGAGAAGTGCTGACTCATAGTATACAGCGGACTAATCCAACAAAAGTAGGGATTGAGGGGGTTTTTTGAGCTCTTGGCTGAAGCAAGCAAAATATGTGAATATAATGTTCTTTTTTCTTTTTAGAGGAAGGAGTGACTGTTGCTTGGGGATGGGATCCTTGCTAATCCATGTTAATACCTTTAACATGACTAAAAGTTCTTAGGTTAGGTGTGTGTCTATGTGAATTTTTCTAGTTTTTTTTCTGTAGTCACCAACTGTTGTCTTTTGCCACTTGCCCCACAGGTGAACCACATGGCTCTTTAGGCTACAGTATTGACTAACAGTGGGATCTAGAATATGTCAGTCACATTAACCCTTACATGTAGGGGGTTGGTCCAGAAAAAACTCCTGGTATTGCAACTTTTATGTTTATTATTACAAGTCTCTGGGCTGGGGTTGTGGCTCAGCAGTAGAGCACTTGCCTAGCATGAGCGAGGCCCTGGGTTCGATCAGCAACACCACATAAAAATAAATAAAGATATTGTGTCCAACTAAAAAATAAATATTTAAAAAAGAATTAAAAAAAGAAGTCGCTGAATTGAATAACAGTTTACTAAAAACTTTATATATTAGCTGGCCAGAATTGAGCGGGGTGGAACAGAGATTTGTTGCCTGGCTCTGTCCTGTATGTTTTATATTTATTTGTTCAATTATCTGAACCTAACTACTGATTAAGATTTCTTTGTCATTCAACATATTCATCAGCTCCACAAACACTACTAAATAATTTTTTGTACCAGTGCTGAGGATGCAAAGAAAGGGATGATGTGCTTCTTGTTCACTGTTGGCAGGGAGGGATGTGAGTACAAAAATACACATAGGGTTGCTTGAATCAAAATTTAAGGAGGGTGTGCTCAAATCTATGCTGAAGTCTGGGGGACTGGTTTCTTTTGATATGATTCTAAGCTGCCAACTGAAAGTAGTTTCAGAGACACAAAATAAAAACACAATCTAGTGAGTGAGATAAGGAAAACATATGTGACAGATATAAACTTCTTAAAAGGAAAAATTGGAAATATAAACAGCATACTGTAAATTATATTCATATCATGCTTTGAGACACCCAAAACAGCATGCCAGTTTCACTGGCAGTGATGACTACTTTCAAAGAAGTCATCATATCCTTCTGTTTCTGAGGTCTATCTTTCTCATAGACTGCTGAAAAACTTTAATGGTTATGTGTTAACCACAAGGAATCACAGAATCATAGAACACTCTTTTAAAAATTGTTTCTTAAAATATTGGTAAAAAGAAGAGCACATGTTATTTGAACAAAGGCCCCATGGGGAGAGGGGTAGCAAACAGTGTTATAGAAGCTTAACCTGCATGTTTGACAACCAGTAGCTGTAAACTTCAATTCTCATTTGCCCCTTGACAATAAGCCGGTCACTTAACTTTTATATCTAACAGTTTCCTCTGCTAAAAGGTGAAAAATTAGATTAGCATTTGATTTATTTCCAACTCTGGCTATTGTAAATAATGTTGCTATGTACATAAGTGTACAAGTAGCTACTTAGTCCCGGCTTTCAGTTGTATGTATGTATGTATATATGGGAGTGGAATTGCTAGATTAAATGGTGATTCTGTTGAACTTCTTAAAGAACAACCATATTGTTTTTCATAGAAGCTGTATCTTTACCTCCTCACCACATACACACACACAAAAACATCTGCTTTGCTGGGTATCAAACCCATGGACTTGTATATGGTAGGCAAGTGCTCTCCTACTGAACTATACCCCCACCAGCGTAGTTACAGCTTACATTTCCACCAGCAATGTAAGAGAGTTTAACTTTCTCTAAATTCTCACAAACACTTGTTATTTTTCATGTTTTTAATAATTGTTATTGTAATTACATCAACATGAAGTGGTATTTCATTTAATAAATCCTGATGTTGCACACATGATACACTTTTTTTTTTTTTTCAAGAGAAGATTGCACACCCAGGGGCATTTTGAGACAGGGTCTTGCTAATTTGTCTAGGACCTCACATAAGTTGTTAAGACTGGCCTCAAACCTGTGATCCTCCTACCTCAGCCTCCCAAATCCTTGAGATTACAAGCATGCACCACCATATCCAGTCATGACATACTTTTAAATTCTGAAATACCCCAGTAAAAAATTTTGTCACTGTTACCTACAAAATGAAAATCAGCAACAAAATGCAGAGTTCCTCATCAGTATTTCTCTACTTTGATACTAGCCCTCCCTTTCCCACACATACCCGTTGCTTACTGGAATGTGTATATCCATGACCACAGACCCCTGTAGGGGCTGCTCTCAGGGCGCAGAGGGCAGTATGCTTTTCTTAAATGTTTTCTTTATCATAAAATATATTCTTATGCGTCATACAATCTTGTTTCTTCCCTGTATGTTCTGTTACTTATGTTGATAGCTATTCTTTTTCATTCTTCTCTTTTTAGCTAAATTTTCTATAGTGTGAGCTTTTACTTTGTTCTTTTAAGGAATTAAAAATATTTTTAAAATAATTTTAGACCATTCAATGAATATTCAGAGATAGACTCTACATGAAAAAGTTATCAGTAGCGCTTCATGGGTACTTGGGTCTGACAGGTAGCCAGCAGCTTTGTTAGTTCCAGTTTTATCTAAGCTGGACATGCAGGCCTACTACAAGTTCAGATGAAGTTCTTTTAGCATTCTCCTTGCTAGATCAGAAACTTATAATAGCAATTCAACTATAGAACCTAATGTTCCATCTGGTTGACTGGACATTCTCTTGTTAGTAATCATTTTTTTCTTAGACATCTCCAAATTATCTTTGGTAACAGAGTACAAATGTTTAGCATTTCCTTTTTTGAACAAATATTTTTCATGTTTTATGATATTTTTCTCTCTATTCAGACAAGATGTTCTGATGGTTTCATTGTGTATTCAGATACTGTGCCTGATGTGGTAGGAAACATACAGTCAATGACAGTCACTCACTGAAACTGAGATGGTAGTGCATTTTATTATCACATCTTATGTTATTTTTAAAGTCTGTGTTAGAAAGGTGAAGAGATGTGAATAATTCATAAAACCTTTGACATCTAAGCCTTAAGATTCCATCAAAGAACTATAGGTTGGAATTATTTTAGTAATTGGAAATGCATGATCAAGAATACGAAAGGGGGTCAGTGGTAGAGCGCTTGCCTAGCATGCGTGAGGCTAGGTTCAATCCCCAGCACCACATAAAAATAAACAAATAAAAGTATTGTGTCCATCTACAACTAAAAAAAAAAAATTTTTTTTTTAAAAAGAAGAAGAATATGACAGAATTGGCTGTTCTCTGACCTAGCTATATATTCTTATAAGCTATATAGCAAAGTTTGGGCAGGAGGATACTTTTATCATTCTGAAAGGAAACTGACAAAATATGCAAGATTACAAATATGCATTTGCATTCACAATTGTAATAAGCCTCACCCTAATTTAGTACTCTGGCATCTTATGTGTATGAATAACTTACAAGTAAGTCAGCTTGATTGGGTACATGATCTTTAAAAAAAATTATAAACAAGGCACATCAAAAATAACTGAATTAGTCCATAAGCACAGAATCTAACAAATTTTAAAATACTACCTCTTGCCATTATATCAGATTTTTGCACCAATAAATATAACACAAATTTATCCTGAGTCATATGGGAAAAAGGAGGGTTAGCTACTAAGGATTTTATAATCTGAACTTACTATAAATAAAATACTCTTGTTGCAAGAACTTTGAATAGGGAGTATCTATTACTTGGTTCATGGTTAGTTATTTTTGTTTCTCAATTTTTCTGAAAAAATCTAAAAAGGAATTTTAGCAATATGCCTCTTTTAATGTGGGGAGACATATTTTAATAAGTATTATTCACATTCA